ACCTTTTCCAACATATCTGGATTTGCTATCTAACCACACAAAATACATATTTATTGATCTCCTCAAACAGATTTATTTATTCATAATTATATTTTAGCATATATTCATTGTTTTTTTAAAAGTTCCGGGTGTCCAAATAAGAAAGGACGCCAGTTCTAGGTGGCAGTCTGTAGTATCTCAAAAACAAGGCGTCGTAAAATAAAATAAAAAACAAAAATTCAATAAAAAAGAGGTCAAGACTGTCAAGAGACATCAATAGAAATTATAAACAGATAATTAGGCATTCCAAACAAAATGGCTACCCGTTTGAAATGACAAGCAATTGATAGGCATATGACAGGTTATAATATGGCAACACTGTAAGCCTGGTGGTTTGATAGGGTAAATGAAATAGACAGTTATATAGATTGATCATCCATGGTTTTAAAAATAAACTCGTAAAATAAAACTGTAGGCTATTATTTTTTTTAATATTCAGAGGCTGAAAATTGGTTTTAAAACATATTTTTACGAAACGGATTCAAATTAATAAACAGGCAATAAGGTAGCTTGGAAACGACCCGTTTTGAGCAATCTATTTAACTATATATGTATCATTGAACCTGTTATTAGAACAGAAGTAAAAGTTGGACATGCTTTTGCCAGTTCTCCCACTTTATACACATAAATTGACAGGTTGGCAGCGGATTTCACCGAAGTGGACGCGATACATTGGCGTACAAAATTATTTTATAGATGTTAATAACAATTTCGAGTAAATAGTTTAATAAATTGTGAATAGCTGTTGAAATTTTGTAAAATTATAATTTGAATATTATAATACATATTTAATAATTATTTATAATCCATAAATACATGCGATTGTCCGGTTCCGCTGATAACAATTTAAAATTACTTATTCTATGAAACGACACTGGCAGGTAAACATTACTGTGAAATTCTCGGAGCCGCCCGACCAGTGTTGCCAGATGAAAAAAAAAAAAATATGGTATCAGACTCTTAAAAAAAATGGTATTTTACTGACAAAAAATGGTATCTTGAATAATTTTGATAACATCAAATAATGTAGTTTTACACACATAATGAAAAATAAAAAATCAAAACTATTATTAAAATTTTATTTTAAACTATGATTTAAATAACAAAGTATTATTTAGAGCGAAATAACAGACATGACATAGTAGTGTAATTATCAGTGGCGACTCGTTACCAAAATATTGGGGTTCAAAATATTTTGGTAACAAGCCACCACTGGTCGTTATGATCTTGCTATACTAAGCAAATTTGCTAGTTTCTTACCCTTTGTATTAATAAAATTGTAATTACAGATTTTTTAGTAATATATAGATACCTGTAACCTATAGGTAAGTATATTATACATAGTGAGGACTGAGGACGTATAGGTTGGAATAAATTCGATATTTTTATTTTCAACTGCGCATCTTAGGGCCGATTCCACCGTTGTGTTAAACAAAGTATGGATACATTACTAAACGAAGATTAAAACGACATTTTTACATTAACAATACTCGTTTAGTAATTTAAACTTAGTTTAACATAATGGTGGAATCGGCTTTTACGCTACAACGTCATCAATATATTTTTTTCAAATTTAAATAAAACATATGTTTTCTCTTCATTTTTAAATTCTTCTATAATAGATACATTTTTGTAAAAGTCTATTATTGGGGGATTAAAAAAAATCGATGACGTCACGTACACGAACGTGATGTTATAATAGGTCTTTTCCTTTGCATCGAAAGTGTAGCACTGAGCTACGTCACTTCTGAAAATATTGTTCCATATATACAATTTGTATAAATGGAACGATATTTTCAGAAGTGGTGTAGCTCAGTGCTACACTTTCGATGCAAAGGAAAAGACCTAATTAGTATATCCAGTTATAGAGTAAGACGTGCAGTTAAAAATAAAAATTGTCCTGTGGAAGCATTTCGTTAAAATACTGTCTAGGCAGAAAAATATATTTAATCCAACCTGTACGACCTCACTGTACCTATACATATAGCAGAAACGGGTACCTATCTAAAAACAGTACAATAATTAGCTGAACGATGAGTGGTAATTATTATTCAGCTATTCGGCAGATGCAGGTGAATCATCAAAATCTATATTTTTTTTGTATAATGTGTCACTAGTCATACAAGATAACATTTTTCTTGTAGGTTCAAAAGTTATACATGATTTCTTAGTCGCTTGGCTAGAAAGCAATAGTGCATCAACTGTATCACATCCTAGTTTATTACGTAAATCAGTCTTAATTAGATTACATTTGGAAAACGTTCTTTCACATTCAGCATTTGAATGTGGATAGCATAGTAAATCAAGAGCAAAATTGGCTATATTTTCAAATTGATTTTCACCTAACAAATTTTTTACAGTACGTAACTCTGCCCAAAATTGATCAATTTGCATATTGACCATGGAATCAATTTCAGGGTGCGTTTTTATTATAAATAACGCTCGCCACTCATTGTCAAGCTGTTGTAATGAAAAGTTTTTAGACACTCTTGGTATAGCATTTGCCAACTCAATTATTGATTGCGGTTTTATTTTATTTTTTGGATTCAAAATACAAATGGATTTTAAAATAGGATCATTAAAATTAAAACGTTTTAATATTTCTGTGCAACAAGTTTTAAGAAAATTTCTACATCTCACAAGAAAATCTTTTTTTTCTTCTGCATTTAATTTACTTATGTGCTCAAGAACTCCTACACCTAAATAAATATTGGGCAAGTTCACAAATTGTTCCTCCCTTTCGTTATCTACAAGAAACAGTTCTGTTTGGTTTATATATTTTGGATCCATATAACATAATAATAAGTCTTTATATGTCGAACACATTTTAGGGTATACTTCAGTAATTATAACTTTATCACTTTGAAAATATTCATTTAGTTGAACAATTTTTGGGAGAACCCAATTTAAAAAGTAAAAATATAATTTATTTAAAGGATTTTTTAGAGCATACAAAATATTTTCTGACGATAACATTCTATCTTCTAGGGAACTTCTTATAAAATATAATTCTAAAGCTGACCACTGCTCTAGAATTCTTTTTACTACACTTAAAAGTGACAGCCATCTTGTTTGCGATGTTTTTAATATTTTATGCGGCTCAACTTCGCAAAAGTGCTGAAATTCTTTAAGTTCCCTTTGGCGTTTGGCACTGTTCTTAAAAAAGTTATAAATGTCACGTGTCATATCTTCACAAATTCTGGGTAATATTTTGCAAGCCTGACTTACAACCAAATGTAAAGAATGACAAATACATTTATTTATTATTATGCCTTTAAAGTTTTCCCTAAGGCGAGAAGAAACTGAGTTTTTTGCTCCCATCATTGTGTTACATCCGTCAGACCCAAACCCTATGATATTTTCAAGTGGAACATTATGAGACAAAAATGCATTAATAAGAATGTTATATAAGTGTTCAGCGGTGGCACTAGTGTTGTCACTTTTCTCGTCAAAAACATTTATTAACTTAAAAAATTGGGATATGATTTGCTTTTTTTCTTCATCAAAACATCTAACAACAATACATAAACTACTTACTGTACCAATATCAGTACTTTCATCTATAAGTACACTAAACCTGCGAGTCGATAATTTTTCAGCTAAAGTTTGCCTTTCACATGGAGCAATTACATTTTTTACTATATTGGTTAATTTTGTTCTGCCTAATGAGAGGTTTCCCGCAATTTTAGAGTCCGGAAAACAACGTTTTAAAACATCAGTCAAATGGTCAGATGCCAAGAAAGCTATGTTATGTTCTGCGAAAAAACCTGCTAATATTATTTCCGATTTTTTTGTCTGTTCAACGAGGATATTGTCACTCTGCGGCTTCAAAAACTGAGAAAGAAAATTGCTCGATTTATTGTCTAGTTTTGAGCTATTTTTAATATGTTTAGCGCTGTTTTGGTGGGCCTTTAACACAGAAACATCACATTTTAAGCGAGCGTCACAACATTTACATTTCGACACAAATCGGTTCCCTAAAAATAAAAAAGTAACTTAATTTATAAAACTTACCCTTTGCTACTTCATACCTTCTATATCAGTTATCCAAGGAAATTGTTTTTCCCATTCGGATCTGTACTTTTGTTCAATTTTCTTTTTTTTTAGATGCTGAGGACCCTCTCTATTTTGTTTCATCTTCTCATCGTCTGTGTTATACGGCGAGTCATCATCGCTCATTGTATATAATTGTTTTGTATTAAATTGTTGAAAATTAAAAACAGTAAAACACCAATATTATAATTATTTTTTACAATACGAGACCCACAAATTCGCAAATTGTTTAATGAATAACGAACAACGAACTACAAGCAAGCACAAGCATCGCTTGGGAATCACGCGGTGTATCATATCGTAGGGATGCGCACGATGTATCGATGTTTAAAAAACATCGATTTTTCGGTTTCGATTATCGATGTTGTTTTATCCGATGTTATTATTTAACATGTGCGGAGTATTAGGTCATACCCGTATTAATATTATTAATTAAATAAAAATCTAAGCGTTAGAAATATGGTAGTAAAATGGTATCAGTAGCCAAAAAATGGTATAAAAATGGAAAATGGTATCCTCAAAAACTTGCAGGTATCGGAGTAGAAAAAATGGTATAAATACCATAAAAATGGTATATCTGGCAACGCTGCGCCCGACGTGGTTTGACGTTTACCCCCTCTCTACCTACCAAAAGACTTTTCAACTTTTACTTTCTCTATAATAACATGACAACAGGGTTGCCATATCTGAACTGTCAGATCCCACTGGTAGCCATTTGGACAGGTCGTTGGAATGCCTAATAGTCAAAATTAAGTCAAATTTCGCATAGATACGATTCAAAATACTGCATTTCTGCCAAGAACGGTTACAATGTGAACTCGTATTGGCTTCAGAAATGCTGTAAACAATAATATCTGTCTTGGTTATATATCTATCAGAAAAACTAATTTATGATTTATTGATCTTACCTGTCATTTTGTGTTATTGGTTCGGAACCTTTTCCAGACGAATGTCCAGCACCTTGATGGAGAATGTTCATAATATGCTCGTGCGCTGCGGTATTAGGTGTAGGTTGTAAACCCTTGCCGGAAGCATGTCCAGTGTGGCCTTTTATCATGCCTAATAAATGCTCATGTGCGGCCGTATTTGGACTAGTAGAGGGAGTAGGAAGTTCCTTTCCATTTTCAGAAGTGGAGTGTTTGAGTTTGTGAGCGGCTGCGGTCGAACTCGCGGTATCTTGGTCCGATTTGGTGGCGGTTTTTTCATCTTCATCTTTAGTTGGATTCGAAACCACGTGGATTATCGAATAGATAAGAAAAAAAACTGATATTTGAAGGTACTTTTGTCGGCGAGTACGTTTCATGGTTCTGAAATAAAAAAAATTATAATTTATAAATAGAGTTCGAAATTAAAAAAAAAATATCAAAAACTTATTCAGATTTACACGGTGAGCCAAAAAAAAGTTGGCCCAAATTGTGAATATTTCTTTAAAATTACACTAAATGTACAGGAAATATTTACAAAAGCATAGGTTTCTTTAAAATAAGTTCAAATCTATTGAGATTTGTAACGTTATGTTAAACGTTCCTTTTTCATACCTTAGAAGTGGTATACATAAGGCAAACATTCAAAAATATTTTCTATACCAACCTTGTATAATACATTTTTGTCTGTAACTCAATAAAAAATTAAATTTGGACATGCGCAGTTTTGCGAGCCATGCGGGATTTTTGAATGCTAGTAAGTGGCTAAGAGGGAGTCAACGATCAGATTCAAGTATGTAAAGAAGGTCATGCGCTATGAGTTAAGGAATACCTACACCACTCGTTCTACCCACATCCCCAACTAGCCATTCATAAAAGTGTATTTGTTGTGAAGTTCTCATCATCATCTATTGTATAGTCCAGGAGACAGTGACGATTTTCGGTATTTATTTTCCCAGTCAGCAAGCACGAATAGAGAATTGTAGGATTAGCAATTCTAAGCAAAATTCATATATATTTAGAGGGGGGATCCGATGGGCTGAGGCCGAAAATGCGTCAAAACATACGAGAACACGGCCCTTTTTTTCCATTGATAAAAATAGTTTTAGTAGTAAGAGATGTACTGAAGTTAAGTAAACGACCACAATTATTTAAAGAATGTTCCAGGTGTTTTGTATATTAAAGTGTACGCATTAATAAGTTTGATTTCACATTCACTACAAATTGTTCGTCTTAGGAAAAAACGAGGAATAATCAATTTGTGTGGAAAAAGGTCAAAATGGTTATTTGGAACCCTAGATAATGATGATCGCAAAAGAATTCAGTCTGTATTAGATTTTTTGGAAAAAAATGATAATTTACTACAGGAAAACATAACCAACGAAATTTCTTTAGAAAAAGAATTTACTTCTAAAGTTAATCATACAGTTCACAAAATTAAATCAAACATTTTGATTATTACTCAATTAATTAAAGATTTTTCAGAAAAAGCTAATGATAATGCATTACACTTAATTATTAATTCCTTATTTACTTTACAAATTCAATTAGATCAAATTGTCAATGCCGTAACTTTTGCAAATTTAAACGAAGTGCATCCAAACCTCTTATCATCTTCAAATTTAAATTATATTATTAATAAAATAAAAACTATATATACAAATAATCAGATAATTCAATTTTCAAACTACAATAGCTACTATTCTTTATTAGGCATTCAATTAATTTTCCAAAATGATAGATTAATTTTCTTAATTCATTTCCCTTTAAAACGTACTTCCTATATTCAATCCCAATACAAAACAAAATAATCCCTCCTCACAAGCCTTACCTAATCCTAAATGAGAGAAATGATTTTTATCAATATTAAAATGAACCCGGTGAAGAACTAGGGAATACATTTTATTGCAAAAATCACCTCCAAATAGAAGATGATTGTATTGTTGGAATAATAAGCAAATATCAAGCTATCAATTGCACCAAAATTACTGTACACATTGAAACTTCATTACAAATCAAGTTACTCCACAAAATACTATTGACTACACCAAACAATATGATTATAACTGAAATATGTTCCAACGAAAAGTACCACGAGCTCAATCCTGGTAGTTATTTACTTACAATTCCTGAGAATTGTTCATTTCAAATTGGAAAAGAGAAGTTCATTCATGGAAATGCTGAGATATCACCGGCCACTCTTGTCCAGTTGCCTCACATAAATCTTTCAAAAAAACTTGCAGCAACCAAAGAAAATTAAACTTATCAATCTAGACGTTGAAGAGATCAAACACTTAGCAGCAATAGTAAACATGCAGCATGAAATTACGTTACCGCCAAAACCCCAAGATCATGAAGAAGCCATTCCTACTTGGTTGATTATTCTAATGATCATTATTACCTTCATAAGCATAATATGTTACTATTGAACTTGTTACCCATATTTTTACACAAAACAAATGAGATCCAGTACAAAAACCACTGTGGAAGCCTAGCCAACCAAGCCACCACAAGCCTTCCACTTTAGCGGGGAGAAGTTAAGGAATACCTACACCACTGGTAGCTTTCCTTTGGTTCTACCTCATAAGAACCGGCACACTGATGTGTCAGGGATTCCCGGCATTTATTTGTGAAGTGCATTATTATAAAAACCAAATATATGGAGATGGCGCCACTTCCTTCTAAATAGTTCAAAGAATTATCACACGGTGCTACAATACTGTCTCGAATTTTAACATTGCCGTTTCCATTCTAAAAGTAAGTGATCTGTGAAGATAACAGTGTCCAGAAATTATCGCACCAGATGACTGATTGCCGAAGAGTACTGACCTTAATCCTACAGATTATATTTTATGGAAAAATTTGAGAGAAACCGTGCACAAAAAAGAAACTTAAATAATATGGCCTTAAACACTCGTTCTCCGTATTCGGATTTCGAATTCGAAAAGGAAATTACGTGAATGTGTCGCAGACATTGATTTTTTAAGAAATCTAAATTCCGAACGCAAAATGTAGCTTTCAAAATAAACGTTAGGAAAATATTCCATCCGGAACAAAATCAAACGTGTACGGGGAATAGACTATTTCAGTGCTTTACGTGAAGTCTGTTTGTCCGATTTGGAAATCGAATTCCGAAATCAAATGCGGAACTAATTTTTTCGACCAGCCTTAAAGGGTGAAAATTCACATTGTTGGGAACATTATTCAATTGATAAGACGTTTACAGAAATGCATTGAACAAACCGGAAGAAATATTGAACAATTTTTCATATGATTTTATTTTGTTCAATTATTATTAGTAAGAGTAAGCTTTTCTGATGTTAATATTGTTATTAGTAGATGAGCAACAGGGACATGGGCACACTACCTCCAAAAGTCACCGCTAGGTGGCGCCACCTGGCAGTGGTGAAAATTGAAACTTGGATGGTTTTGGACTCGATTAGCGATCCAAGATGGCGATCATCGTTTACGTAAACGCTAGGTAAACGCTGAAGAGAATCATGGGCAGCAGCAATGTCAAAAGGTTCTAAGTCTATATCTCCGCCGTTATTGATCCGATTTAAACGGGGAAAACGACGTTGTTAAAAAACCACAACATAAAATAACTTTAAAGAGAAAAATCATGCGCAGGACCTAACTCTATATATCTACTGTTATTGGTCTGATTTAAATGGGAAAAACGGCGTTATGAAGGAAACGTGGCATAGATTAACTTTGAAGAAAAAAATCACGAGCAGTAGTAATGCCAAGAGAACCTAAGTTTATATCTCAGCTAATACTGATCCTATTCAAACAGAAAAAACAAGGATGTGTGAGGAAATTACATGCAGATTAACGTAAAAGAGAAAAATCATGCGCAAGGATAAAGCCAAAAAGACCTAAGTCTATATCTCAGCTATAATTAATCCGGTTTACATGAAAGAACATTATGAAGTAGACGCGAGGTCCTTTTGGCTTTGCTACAATTTTTCTCTTCAAAGTGAATCTATGGCACGTCCTCTTTATAGTACCGTTTTCCTGTTTGAATCGATCCAATAACAATGAAGATATAGACTTAGGTTTTTCTGATATTACCATTGCACATAATTTTTCTCTTTAATATTAATCATCATCACGTCCACTTCACAACGTCTTTCCGTTTCATTCTATCCAATAATAGCAGACTTGCACTGCAAGAGAAACCTTGAATTCTTGGTGGATACACTTTGTTTTAGTTACTCGATCAACAGCGATCAATTGAAATATTTATGTTTTTCTTGTTGTCCTGGTGGAGACAAAATGTAGTTGGTGATAAAACGAGTAACTCTGAAATACTAGAGTATGGTGTTCCTCAGGGTACTGTTCTTGGGCCTATACTCTTTAATTCATATATAAATGGACTCTTTTCAATACAAAGCCGCGGTGAAATAATTGGATTTGCTGATGACACAGTAATATTTTATGAGGGACAAGACTGGAATACTCTAAAAACAGTTGCTGAAAATGATTTCGCTTCTATTAAACAATTCTTAGACTCAAAATTACTGACGCTAAATCTAGAAAAAACAAAATAATTACCCATCAGTTGCAATGCAGGTGGATTACCAGAATTTCAAAGTTTAAAGATCACTAGCAATGGAAAAGTGTATAATATTTTATCCGAAAAAGAATATAAGTATCTTGGCGTATATATTGATAGACATTTAAAATGGGATTGTCACATAAATTATACAGTTAAAAAGCTACAAATTATTCTCTATAAATTTAAATTTTTAAAAAAACATTTACCCCTAGAACAACTTCGAACTTTATACTATTCTCTTGTAGAAAGTCATATACGTTATGGTATTGTAGCATGGGGTAGTGCTCTGCATAGTCACATTAATAACATAGAAATAATACAACGCAGATTTTTGAAATTAATAATGAACAAAAATTTTAGATACTCATCCGATATACTTTACGAAGAAAGCAAAATATTAGATATAAGACAAATGTACTTTGTTTCCACCAATCTAAAATATTACCCAACTAGACTCACAGCTACAATACCATCTCATACTTACCTAACCCGGAATAGATCAAACCATGTTGTACCCTTGGTGGAAAGATCTTTAACTCAAAGGTCTTTTTCATATCTAGGGCCTAAGATGTATAATCACTTACCAGAGGAAGTGCAATCCAAGGTTACTTTCCATTTGTTCAAGAAATATTTAAAAATATTTACTTTCAATACCCCAAGGAAATATATTTCAGATCTAATAGAAAATAAAACCTAAAAAGTACTCACTATTTATGTATGTTTTCGTATTATAATGTATCAAGTAATATTTATATCAGACAATTCGATGGTATGATTCATTTCTCTTTCCTTATTATTATTTTTTAGTATTTATTATTATTATTAGTATTATTAGTATTATTAGTATTATTAGTATTATTAGTATTATTAGTATTATTAGTATTATTAGTATTATTAGTATTAGTATTTTTATATGTATATTATTATTAAAATTTCGTAACAAGTGTTAAGTCACTTAACGTGAGCCAATTTATTCATTTCTCTTTTTTTTCTGTATCAAATGTGTTTATATGTACTATTTTAATGAATAAATTATTATTATTATTATTATTATTATATGTTGCATCATGTTTCTACAAAAAGTTGCTCTATGTTACTTTGGTACTATGGTATCTCGTTTTGCTTTTTTACTCTATACCGCCTTTTTTGCTCCGTTTGCTCCATTGATATGGTTTGCTCGATGTCACGTGACCAAAAGATCTACTCGCTCTGCTTGATAAAGTACATTTCAATCGTAGCAATGGATAATGACGATCAACAACAGTGGCGGCTCGTGGACACTAGCTGCAGTGGGACACACACTGGAAAGGAATCCCGGGATTCGTTTTTCCCTCAGGAAAACAAGTTCTCCGCTTAATGAAAATTAAATATATTTCAAAACAATCAGTTGGTGCAATAACGATTTCTGAATGTGACTACAGGGAGCTAAATGTGACCACTCAAAATGCATTTAACTATGTATGTGGCTATTTAATAAAAAAATCATTACATATCCACTCTTATGAAATTTGCGTAAATTTCTCAGAAGAATGCAATTTACTTAACAATTCTAACTTGTTAACGCATTTTAAAGCATACGACTCTGAAGAAAAGGTATTTGGCAATTTAAAATCTCCCAGCGAAAAATTTCTCTTTTATATTTTCAAATTAGAAAAAATATTTATATCTCTATTTGATAGTTTGTTAACTAAGCCTGGAATTTCCAACGCATACCTTTTTGAGATGAGCAAAATAGAATTTGGTCATCCTTGCCAACAATTTGCGAAAATGTACATCATTAAATTACTCTCAGAATTTTTTATACTCTTAAATATGCAAACAGAGATTTGAAATCCTCGAAAAAGTCAGACAAAACCAGAAGAAAAATTAAAATTTTGTCCCGTTTATAAATATTATTGATTTTTTTTTCATCATATTTTTGACTGCTTTATAAAAGAAAGTTATTTTTCATTGTAGTTTTATTTTTTAACTATTCCAATGGTCCAACTAACGTTTTTTCGTAATCACAATAAATAAATTATTATCATGGTCCAACGAACGCGCACTTTTGTGAGGGAGCCGGTAAAGATGCCGCTGCGTACATTCGTATCTGGTCTAGGCACATACTTTGATTACTATACGGTGCAAGAGAGAGGTCCGACACGCCCAACATAGGGCGCGGCCATTTTGATTCCTATGTCACAGTTTATAATTAAAGAATCACTCTGCGTCGGCACTTTTGATCTCAATGTTCCAGTTTATACACTGCGCAGTCTTCTGCGTATCCTGAATTTGTATCCCTAGAGTGGATGTTATTTTGGAACTTTCAACTGGTCCGAGTGAGCTAACTGATTCTTTAGCAATAAACTGTGACTCCAAAAATAATATTCACTGACACTGACAGCAGCAAGCAAAATATCAGGTGCGTTTTAATCATCCGCTACTGCTTCCTGAATTGTCGGTTTAGTCGTTTTAACCTGTCAGATTAAAACAAGAAAACCGACAATTCTGAAGAAGAAGCGGATGATTAAAACGCACCTATTAAAAATATTGCGCCAAGATGTAGGCAACACGTAATAAGGGATCAAAATGGCGGAGTTTTCTATCTCCTTTTAAAAGGTACTCAGAAAGCTGCGCAGTGCGACCATTCTCCGTATAGTCTAGGTAATCTGTGCCATGGGTACAGCACGTCACGATTAGAACAGCGTCCCGCTTGTGACGTATAATCCATCGCATGTGTTCATCTCTTGCTAAGCGATATTGTCGTTGTCCTTGTTTTTCGCATCATAATGAGAGAGAAAACAACAGAGGCACACATTTACTGTGCCCTGCCCACATACTTTATCAAAGTATGTGGCCATGCCACTTAATTTCGGAATTCTCGGAACGTCTTTCAACGCCCGGTCGTCCAGTGTCGTGCCAACGCGGTTTGCGCTGAATATTAGATAAAATAATAATAATAGGCATTGAGGAAAATATAAAATATGTAAGTTATTTTTTTTTTTTGGTGCCCAAGTGTCCTTACGGGCAAACCGCCACTGGTTTGCTGCGAACTATTTTTATATTTTTATTAATACATTTGAAAAAAAAATATCATCATTATAAGATTATCATATTTAGTGCAACATAACCCAATTTATTATAAAAGCCAGATTTACACCATCTCATAATATTTAAATTTAGCTTTAACTTTACATTTATTAACGATTATCCCTGTATTTGATCACACATTATATTAAAGTGAAATTTAAAGGGTTAAATTAGTAAAATTATTGATTTCTTTGTCATTATTTTTGAAAACGTATTTTTATACGGGTGTAAAACGGATTTAAATTCAAACCTCTTTTTATTTTTCTACGGGTGCCTGAAGTTAAAATTTGTTTTATAATAATAATTAAGAGTCTGGATTTTAAACAAATTCGAGCGGTTTTTGCAGCTGTCATGAATGTGTTTAAAAATAAAATGAAATTCAACGTTTTAAGTTTAATGCTTCATTAAATTCAATATTCATTAAAAAACAGGCTTTTAATGTGAGAGACGTTATATAATGGAATATGTTTTGTAATGTCTGATGAAACGATTTTTCATTCATTCATAGAAAACAACAAAATTACTTAAGTGTAATAGATTTTTCAAACTTTTTTGTTTAAAAAGAGAACATAATATATGAACTATATATATTTAAAAGTAGAAGAGTCCACCCTTATGCGACACCAAACTATACAGGGTGTCCCATTAGATAAAATTAGGATATTTTTAATTGAAATATGGCAACTTTTTATAAACACCATGTACTAATAATAGGCCATTTTGGTATCGCTGGGACAAAACAAAAGGTATTAGTTCAGCTCATAGTTATAACGTTATTCATTTTAAAGTAATACGCCGTAATTTTTTTCAAAAAAGAATTGAACTACATTTATCGCTTTTTGCTGAGAAAGAAACTCTTGTCGTATTTCATTTAATTAGCAGTTTAATTAATTTATATAGAAGATTGGAAGGAGTAAATAAAGCACATAAATAAAGGGAGAAAGATAGCAAAGCGAGCGAAGTTTCTCAATGGGCTGAATTGAAAAATTGGAGTGTCTCATCAAAAAAACCGAGTCAAGAGAAAATCAAAGGAACGACTAGTATCCCGTAATGTACACCATTATAATAACTTCATTTAATTTTTGAATTAGCTTTTAATTTTCAGTTAGTAGTATACAGGGTGGACCTGATTTAATTTACGTATACAGAGATCTCGTAAATCACAATCTTAAGTTAATACTTTTTAAGAAGCCTTTAAAATAAACAACTTTTTCAAAAAACTAAAAAATAAAAATCTACATTAAAATGTTTCTAATACGGTCCCATAATTAATGTGTTCAAAGTTAACACCATTAATTGAAGTGTTGAAACACAAGGTAAACCGTTCACTGTTCATTATGTGTAAGACCGATTAAGCACTGATGGATATGCATATAAATAAGCAACATATTATTCCCAAATTCATTGTTTTCATATAAACATTCTACTGAACAGTGAACATCGTAAATTATATTGACCGGTAAGGGTGTGATTCACAATAAAACCTAACAAAAAAGGTATAAAGATAAAAACGTAAACATTTAACAAAGTTATATGAAAAAGAGGTTTAGTTTAATGATTTTTATATATAGGCAAAAACAGTATCAATTTAGGATTCACCCTGTATACGATTCGAGTTAAATGGAGAAAAATATAATTGTTTATTTATTTATTAATTTAGTTACACTAAGACACTAATTAATTTATTTATACTTAAATGATGTACTAATTTATGTAGAGATTTACTTATGTACCTACCAATTTATAATACATTTATTAATCTGCACAAATAAATATCTAACTTAACTTTATACCCAGAACAGTCTTGAAAATTTTAAAAGCTCCTTTACCATTTCATACGTGTATTTTGTATGATACATGGGTTTGGTACACCTATAAAAAACAGGGATTTTAAAAATGAGAATAAAGTACAGACCTGTATTTAAAAAAAATGGGATAAAGACGAACCGTTGTTTTGAAAAGTTGAGCAGTATATGAACAGAAAAGAAAAGTAAATATGTTTTATCTTTAAAAACAAAGGATTTAATTGAATATAGAGAAAATCAACAATTCCGGTTGTGCCACAATATCTAGAAATTTGGAACTGATGTTTTAATTCTGAAGGAACTAATAAATTCGTTTTAAAAATGCACATCTTTAACAAACTTTGTATATATAACGAAATCTCTATAGTGTTTAAGTTTTCGCCACCCTGTATACCTCCTGGCAGGTTTTGTATGAAATGGCAACATCATTCTTTAATTATTGAGAGTGTCTTCTATGATTAATTTATTCGTTTGAACTTTGTTGCTCTGTAACCAAACATCAAAATAAAAATATTAAATCTATTTGACATGCCGGCTATTTTCGTGTGGCGAAAATCGATTCCCCATAGAGTAAGCTCCAGCCGAACCGCATCGAATGAAAATTTGTGAATAAATTATGCCCCAAAAACTGTAAACGTCAGCTACCTACCACAATATAACACCGATTCGTTCTTCCTACAAAAATATATATTCCAGTATCTGGTACCGTTGCGATAAAGAAACAATGAAAATAAATCGATTAAGAAAATAATTCCTTGCAATGTAATGAAAAGCAATTAATATATGTGGTACCACAGTACGACTTATATTGATTAATGTGGTAAATTAAATCATTAATAAAAGTAAAGGTAAAACTTAGATTAAAGAGACTCTTTTATCTAAGAGGTAAAGTAATTGATTTAAAAAATATGAAAGAGAGGAATCCACATATAATTAAAAAATCTGATGAAAAATCCAAAGATGGACCTTCAACCAAGAGTGGGTGAGTAGTAGAAGATAGTGTGTGCATATTCTGTGAGGAGGACGAAATCTTCATTTACATTCTGACTCAATATGTAGCACTCCAGAATCCAATGGGGCAAACCTAATAGAAGAGGTCGATCTATCTAACTTCAAGCTACTCCAAATCCTACACTTTCTTGAGACGAGACGATAGGATAGGAAGTGTCGGTAGAAGCATCAAAACTATTTCCTTGATGTATTAGCGCCAAAGGGGGCATAATAGATATTTTAGGTTGCAGTGTATTAATACCCAATGCCTAACATAACATGAGAATTTTCTATACTTCCTCCTTAAACTGATTTTTTTTTTCATGTAAACATTTATTCAGGATTTCTCCTATTTTTCGTAAAGCCAGATTGTGTACCTTTTATCTTAATATTTTCTCAATATACTCAAGAACGTTATTTTTCTTTTTAAGTATCGATAAAATTATTTACTGACTTTAACAGTGTACCTATTTATCTCAATCTTTCGAATATAGAATAAAATATCCACCATAATCCATCATTTTATGAGCGTGTAAATTGATCTAAACAAAATATTTTCACCAGTTTTTCCTTTATAGAGATGATCGATTAATACCATCAATAGTTAAACGTTTCACAGTCAACAATGCTATCTTTTCAGGATTTTTTCCTAAAAGTAACCTAATTTACGAACATTTTAAACTTTTAATTAATTGAATCAAACTCCATATTAGGGTACAAACACAGTGGAAGCAGATTTCCGCTTACCGGCAATCAGCGCCGATCTGTACCGTTGTCTCGCGGCTGAATGGTACAGAGTGAATACCTGTAAAAGCGAGAAAAAATCGTTCTTAGTTGCGTCTACAAAACCTTTTGGTGGAAAAAATTCATGTATTGAGCACGAATGTTTTAATAAACGCTTATCTCGCTCTAGAAAATGCGTAGAATGTACATTTGGAATAATTACGGCATAATAATAATAATAATAATAATAATTTATTATTTACCATATAAAACAAAGATATACAAAGTAGTAACTCTAAAAA